ACAGTATCAACACCACCATCTTTGGGCACCCTAGCAATCATGGACTTCTCATCAAAGGTAACGTCTCTGCTGATCACGAACTTTGAATCTTCTGTACACCAAAGGCGGTAGCCTTTTACGCCCTTTGCATACCCCAAGAAAATTGCCTTCTTGGCCCTCGCGTCAAGCTTTCCCTCGTTGACGTGATAGTAGGCGGTACACCCGAAGATTCGGAGCCTCTCATAATCTGCATGCTCCCCTGACCACACCCGATAGGGTGTATCACCGTCCAATGTCGAATGTGGAGATCGATTCACTATATAGCAAGCTGTAGCAATCGATTCTGCCCACCATTCTTTGCCCAAACCAGCATATGATCGCATACTCACTGCTTTCTCCCGCAGTGTTCGGTTCAGTCTTTCTGCGACCCCATTCTGCTGTGGTGTAGATCTAACTGTCCAGTGTCTAGCAATCCCTTTCTGATCACAGAACTCCTTGAAAGCACCGTCTGTATACTCTGTACCGTTATCAGATCTCAGTGTCTTCAATTTCTTGCCCGTCCTGTTCTCAACCATCGCCTTCCACTTCTTGAATGTCTCAAATACCTCATTCTTATGCTTCAGGAAATAAACCCAAGCATATCTTGAATGATCATCTATGAATGAGACAAAATATCTGGAACCACCCTTGGAAGTTGTCGAAGTCGGACCCCAAACATCCGTGTGCACATAATCTAGTATCCCTCTGCTCTTGTGCTTGCTCCTCAGAAATTGAACCCTGTGCGCCTTTCCATACACACAGTCCTCGCAAAAATCCATGCAAGGCTTCTTCAGATTCTTCAGCAAACCCTCCTTACCAAGCAGATCCAGACCCTTCTCTGACATGTGCCCAAGCCGCCTATGCCATAACCGTGTGTGCTCACATGGGTCTCCACCACTTCCTTCAGCTCCAACTGCTGCATCTCCCGTCACCGTCGTACCCGAGAGAGTATATAGATTACCGTGACGAACACCCTTCATCACTGTTAAGGAACCCCGAACAACCCTCTTCACTCCGTTCTCTGTTACAATCTTGCAACCCCCCGGAGTCCAAAGCACCGACTGAGATGAGATTCTTCCGCAAGCCGGGAACGTGTCGTACGTCCGTCAGGGTTCGAACCACTCCATCATGCATCTTGATTTTGATATTACCTAGCCCCACCGTTTTACAAGCATGGTTGTTCCCCATCAATACGGTTCCACCATCAATACTCCTGTAGGTAGTAAACCACTTCCTGTTTGGACACATGTGGTAAGAGCAACCAGAATCAAGAATCCACTTCCCGGAGGTATCCTCGCCATCCGTGACAACATAACATTCCTTATCGCTCCTATCCTCTGAAGCGTAGCTCGCCTCTTCCTTGTCTTCTCGTCTTTCAGTCTTATTGTTGTTCTTCTTCCCACCTACTCTCTTGTTTGGACAGTCGACCTTGAAATGCCCAACTTCGCCGCATTTGAAACACGCTCGTCCCGCAAGAGGTCTCGATTTAGATCTAGACTTTCCTCCCTTGCCTTTTCCTCGCTCGTTGCCTCTTCCTCTGGCAAACAGCCCCTGCGCTTGTTCTTTGTTACTACCAGTGGCCATATCACTAGTTGCAATTTTTCGAAGATCATCCGCTAGAAGCGCCGTTCTAGTGTCATCCATCGATAAATTTTCACCCACAAGCATCAGTGTTTGCACTAGGTTCTCATAAGACTTCGGCAGAGATAGAAGTAGTAGAAGCGCCTGATCCTCGTCTTCCACTGTCACCTCAATGTCTTTCAAGTCCGATATGATCCTATCGAACTTGTTGATATACTCCCGGATTGACGAGCCCTCCTCCATCTTGCAAGTATACAATTTGGATTTTAAATAGATCCGGTTCGTTAGACTCTTCGTCATGAAGGTGCTTTCTAACTTCAACCACACACCCGCAGCCGTTTCCTCCCCGTCTACCAAGAAAGCTACATCCCTCTCAAGGCATAGGATAATCGACGCTCGTGCTTCCAGATCCAGCTCCTCCCAATCCTCATCAGACATAGTTTTGTGCTTCTCTCTTCCAGCCAAAGCCTTGTGCAACTTTTGCGAAATTAGCGAATTTTTCATCTGCATCCTCCAATAGGAAAAATCATTTTTCCCATTAAATTTTTCAATCTCGTATTTTCCAACTTTACTTGTTTTACTTGTAGAAGTCATTTCCGCTTGTATTATGTCAATCCGCTTCTCAGGAATTTTTAATAATTTATTTGTGTTTTACCACACAATATTTAACCACCACCTCAGATCAGAAATTTTACCACCTCCAGTCTGAATAAGGTCTCTGATACCAATTGTTGGGCGCAGAGTCACGCCTACCGCCGCGGAAGCGATATGTCCTGAGAGAGAGCCCTGGCCTTTGTTGTCACAAAAGCACAAGTCAACCTCGATATCTGTGTTTCGCGAAGGAAACTCAGACTCAGTAGCGAAATATCTCAGCGAAGTGAAATATCCACTCTTCCTCTCATCAGCGCAAGACCGAATTTTGAGGGATCCTACAAGCAATAGCCAACAACCCAGAAAACAGTAAATACACGAGATTTTACGTGGTTCGGCTAACTAGCCTACGTCCACGGGAGGGGGGTTTCACTATGAGGAGAATACCAAACTTTACAAATTCTCTCTCACTCACTCTTTCTTTTCTCTCAAAGAAAACTCACACAACCCTAATTGTTTTTACCATAATTTTCCCACCACCTATAACTCCTCCACCCCTTCACTATTTATAGGAAAACCAAAGGGGAGGGGGGCTGAAGAATTGGCGGGAGCAGACAGCGGGAAACGAACGCGCGCGCGGGAAAGGAGAAAGAAATCGCGCGGGGGAGTTTCGTGCGCGCGGGAGAAACAGGCGGACAGGGGGGTTCTCATGGGCAGACCCACGTGGGTGGGTCCCCCCTGTCCCCCGCTCACACTATCTTTACTGACTTCAGATGTACAGTACTACACGACTAAGTCGACAATATAGAGGATCCATTCCCCTGACAGATGACCATCAAGCGAACTTGATTTTAGAGTTCTAATTCAAAAATTGACATTAGAAAAGGGTTAAAGTGCATCTATGATCCATTATTTCACGGACAACTGCAATTTATCTCAACCGAGACTTAACTAGCAAAGGTCTAGATCTAGTTCCATTCAAGATGAATAGGAAGCATCCATACAGCAATCGATGATTGTGCTTAAGAGAATCTGTCACTTCTTCAATGTAGTTTGCCATCTTGTAAAAACGAGGTGATTGATCATTTAAAATTTAACATAAACGGGTTTTCTTGTGAAGAGAAAAATCTCAAAAATTGGAGTAGAAAGAAGTAAAATGAAGGAAACATAACTGTGCTTAGCCTGGATGCAGGCATCATGAACCATACAGCAAGCATCCAATCCATCACATGGCTTCTCTCCAGGGCACCCACTGTACATAAACCCACAATACTTCCCATATCTCAAAAATGGAGGAGCTGTACATAAATAATATGCTCATCAAAATATTTCAGTGTAAAACATATATATTTGAGAGAACTTTAGCCTCATCGTGTACATTAATATTACCTGAACAGTGATCAGACTCACATGTTCTGCTGCACTCTTGCTGTTTATTCTGCACAAAACCCCTCAATCCATCAAAACCAAGCCAATACCTCCATTAAAAAAATTGAAAAACATATGATTTGGAGAAATATATACCGAGGTGTGGTCGGAGTTCGACTGAATCCCAATGTTTAGGGCTTGAACATGAACACGAACTAGAAGTAAGCAAGAAATGAGTGTGAGGATGAAGACCAACTTCAGACCCATTTTGTCTCTGCACACAAGAGACTAAAAGGGCACTGATTTTAGTATGAATGAAGAAGATGAGGAGACCAAAGTTTTTGAGGATAATATGGGGATGTGTATGCATGTATCTGATTGGTGAGCTGTGAAGGGTTTGGCTTTATTGTGCCCGTGAAGAGATTTTGTTTGCTTGCTTGCTTGCTGAGAGTACGTTCATTCACCAAACATCTATGGTTTACTATTAATTGAGCTTAGTGGTGATATGTTTGTTGGTCCCATGAGGCTGTAGTCTTTTGAATTTAAGATGCATTGGATGATAAGAGTAATGTTTTGTTGGTGCTTTGTTGCTGTTAATTATGACATTAGTCACACCTTCAATGTATTTTGAATGCACTTGTCCTTTTCAACAATCAAACTTGGCTATCACTTCAGAGATCAACTCATTTATTTGAATGCAACTTCTTCATTTATGAGTAAGAACTTGTTTGGTAGGGGGTCAAAGTCAGAGTTAAGAGGCTTTAATCTTGATTTGTGTTGTCAGATATTTTTTATCAATGCTAATCCATTTGGATTAACTAATATTACTCTAAGAAATCTTATGAATTTTCGAATATTAAGCTATAGGTTAATATATGAATAGAGAATGAAGAAAATATATTGGATTGTTGCAATTGAATATGAACCTATAACCCAATATTCGACCTATAAGGATCATCTTTTGTTGAATGAATCAATAAGAATTCTATTAGAACCATTCATGGAGGAGTGGAGTGATCTACGTCATAAATAGAGGAGTTAATAATTCCCAAACTAACAATCTAACCATCCGTGAATGATATAAATCACCCCTTCTATGGAGTGGAGTGTTCTGATAGAATCCTTATGAATATGCTTGATAAAAAGGGAGTAAATATTTCATTGGACGAGATGCAGGAGAATTAAATTCAGAGCACATGGGCTTATTTAGAGGGGGGGCTAGACCAACACAAAACTTTATTGTTTTTAAGGATTATTCACCTTTAATTAGAAATTTTAATTGCATCTGATTAAAGGGTTCAGAGTAAGCTTTGTTATGTATAATTAAGTAAAATGGTTTTAGTTAAGGGATTAATTACCTTCATTATGTCTAATAGAAGATATGCCAATTAAGGTAGAAGATAGAAAGTAGAAAGATTTCAAGGTTATACCTGCAGTAATGTTAATAAATTAAGGCCAGTTGATGGGTTTCAGATCTGGTCACAAAAGGCCCAGTTCTGAAAATAGACTGAGGTCAAAGTCCATAGGACTTTCATAGTTCGGCCCAATAAAAGCCCATAAGATTCCCTCTTCCGCTGTATTCAAAGGATGACCGCCCTTTTTTCCGCTTTCAAAACAAAAGGCTCCAACGGAGCTCCGCCCTCCTCAACCTCTCTCCGGTCCTGACTGCACCGTCAACCTCTCTCGACCCTGACGGAACCGTCTTACTTATCGATCAAGATGATGCCCTCCTCTATCGACTGAACGGTGAAGCGAGGATTAGGGTCTTCATGGGATTCCAAGTTTTTCAGCCTGGTCATTATGAATATGGTTGAGGCTCAATACTATCAGAAACATAGCCCTGTTTCTCCACCACCATGGCTGCTTCTCCTTGCCATCATCTGATTCGGGTTGCAAGAAGAACCGCCTCCGTCAGCCTAAATCATTTCTAGTGAGAGTACGGGCAAAGGGGGTTCATTGTACCAGGAGATTAGATTCGGGTGTTTAATTTAGAAACCGATCGAGCTGGATTGATGAGTGACCACATTATAATGTAGCAACTGAAGTTGATTTCTCGCCGTTTGTGGAGCACGAGGGGATTTGGCTCCTGCCGAGGCTTGACTCAATCTCTCAGGAGGAGGCTGTAGGCGTATAAAATTGCTTAAAGATCCCTTAGCACAGCTCAGCACAAACCGACGAACCAACGAGGCGACGAGGTTAACGAATCGCACGCAAACAACGGAATAAATCCACTCGCGTGCGGAATCAAGCTAACGGGTTGAAGAGTCAACGAGTCATCCATCCATGGACGGACTCGGACGAATCACGATCGAATCAAGATCAATTTCGGACTCGAACTCAGAAGTGGATTTACTGTCATATCAGGAATCAGGTCAACGAATCGAGTCCGAACAAGTCAACCACACAACCGAATCACGGACAGAACCGAAAGACGGAAAACGACGGAACCCAAATACCTATAGGGGCTCGGCCAAAACCGAGCCACCTATAGGTGGCCGGCCAGATCTGTGCCCGGGCACAGTTCAGAGTGCATTAGCACTATTAGCAGCGTGTTGAGTCGTTCTCATTTAGCTTCTTCATCGAGATTTTTTGGAGGCGAAGCCCTGCTGGATTGAAGACTCAGATCTAAAAAAGATCCAAGCTTTGGGACTTCGAGGACTTATTCTTCCAGATCCGGTGCTCGGCGATCGTCAACGCCAAATAAGGCAAGAGTTCGAGAGGATCGGGTCTCAGATCTACGCAGGCGTACTCCGGATCAAAGCTTGGTCTTTGATCCCGAGATTTGGGCAATTGTTTCCTTGGTGAACCAATCCCCCCGGCTATTATTTCCTTGGTGAAATAATACCCGTCGTACTGCGTAGATCCGATCGGATCTAGATCGCGCGGTGGTCCACGGATAAACCCCGGCGCAGGCAAAGAACCCACAAAAAAGTTGTAATTTTTCTTTTATTTTCTTTGGATCTCGTTGTAACCGGATCTTATAAAAAGACCGGATCTTTGTAATCGAAAAACAGTTACAAGAGTGCAATGGAATCAATGAAGAAAGACACGATTTTTCCCGCGAACAATCTGGCGACCACAGTGGGAGACACCGATCTCGCTGCTGAGATCGTCACGTCGCAGCCGCGGATCTCAATCCCTGTCGAGGAGGAGGTCGAGTATGAATTCGACCAGGCCAAGTTCGAGGAGTACCTCTCATCCTCGTCCGGATCTACCTCCCCCCGCAAGTCCAAGAAGTTCTCCTCCAGGAGAAAAGTTCGTTGGTTTGAAGAAGTTCAGAATACCAACGAAGCTCTCACCCCAGATGACGCCAAAGTTGCGTCGGGTGAAGTTCCGCCGACCAAGAGAGCCCGCCAGAGGCGACGTCAACGCCTTGCGCGGCAATTCGCTAAGGCGATGGAGTCCACAGACGGAGTCCGCTACAACGCGGATCTGAAGAATAGGAGAGGCAAACAGCCTCAACAACTGAAGAATGGTTGCTCCTCCAAGCCGCCAACGAACGAATGGATCCGGGTCAAACGAAACCGTTCGACACTCGAAGAGCGGATTCACAAACGCCGCGCATTGCTTGCACAAGCAAAAATCCTTGTGCAGAAGGCCGAGGAGTTGAAGAAAGAAAGAGTGGCCAAGAAGCGCCATCAACCCGCCAAGTGTGGAGGCGAGCAGCCTCAAGCCAAATTCAACCTCCGCGTGAATCAACAAAGTCCTGCAGGTAAATCCCAATAGCTTCTCCCGGGAGAATCATTGCAGAATCATCCACGAAGGGAAAAAGTCAGTCTTGGAGCGCCATCGGTCTCGATTCCGACGGAGAGGGCAAAGCTCCTGTTTCAAGATCGTTTGCGGCCCGATGAAGAAGCCCCGGATGATGCAACATTGCTGGGTGGTCGCCATTCACCTCCAACATGACAGAAGAGACCAGGCAGTCAGTGCGCACCACTTGCCCGCATTGCAAAGTCCAGGAGCCCGCAGAACTCACGCCCAAAAAGGCATGTTTCGCAGTTGCGCGTGACTCTCGAAAGCCCAAAGAAGGCGCAGTTCACCCTCAGAAGGAACATTTACCGTCTGGATGACGATAATGTTATACCCTTGAGAAGTCGCTGCTAACACACGATTAGTGTCAAGCCAGATGAATTGTATCTATCGTGTTTTGGGGGTACGAGTAAAACAGGAAGAGGAGTCCCCGAGAACAGCGAAACTCAATGCCCTCCTTCCAAACTCATTCGGGCGGTATTGTCTGATGTTGCAACTGCATCAAGCGGTCCCGAAAGAGTTTCGGTTTTCGAAAGACTTAGTACCGAACGCCAAAACCAAGGCCTAGGCGTTTCGCACACGAGAAGAACGGTGGTTTGAAGATTGGAGAATTTCGAGTTGTCACCACCAATATGACAGCAACAGGTGAATCGGCCCGGGCGATATATCTCGAGTCGATTCTGAAAGATCCCGGCTAGAACCGTCTGCGCATGTCCGAAACCATCAAGCGAGAACCTATTGGTATGGGTTCGGACAAGATTACCATCGGAAGATGAAGAATCGGATTCCTGCTCCGCGGTTGCATCTGATAATACGGTATCCAGCGAGGGACAACCCCGCGAGGCACTTATGATAAGTGCGGAGCAAGTGGCTAAAATGCTTGAAGACGCCTTAGCTAAGCAACAGGAAACCTTCAGGTTTGAAATGCAGATGGCCATGCAAAACATGAGAGAAATGCATGACCAACAAATCCAAGCATTGACGAACCAGCAAGGCGAGCCAAGTCGTCGTAACCTGGTTAATCTGGAAGATGAGGACACAAATGCGAATGAGACTCATAACGCCAATAATCCTCCCGTCAATGCAGGGGGTGATAATAAGAATGCTAGCGAAAACACAGGTGAAAACTTGAAGATTAAAAATCTCGAGAGCAAAATCAATACGTTGATTTCCGCTCAAGAGATGAAGAAAATAGGCATTCCTTGTCCATACCCAAGAGAGTGGGAATCAATCCCATATCCGGCGAAGTTCAACCTAATTAACTTCACACCGTTTAATGGGATGGGTTCCCCCACTCAACATTTGATTTACTTCAAATCACACTTGGGGGTTATCTCCGGCCGCGGAGCCGCCTTCGATTGGTATCGTCGCCTCAAGCCAGGAAGCATGAACAGCTGGGACGACATGGAGACTAAGTTCCTCGCTAACTTCTTCGACGACGACACCGAAATATCCATCGGAACGTTGCTCGACGAGAAACAAAAGGAAGGGGAATTGGTCGATACCTTTGTCAAGAGGTTCCGGAACAAGGCGATGAACTGTCGGGACCCGATCACCGAGGAATTCATTCTCCAGACTTACCACAACAACCTCGCACTGGACGTGTTGGAAGCAATGGGGACAGCACCGT